GCCAAGGACTAGACCCACAGTGATTGCTGGCAGCAGCAGTCGGTGGTTGTCCTGACAGGATAGGCCACCTTCCCTACCCTTCCCCACGTTAATGCTCCCAGCGCACCCCCTATCCCTACTATCCTACCTCAGTGTCAGGACCATCGCCCTACCAATATCGAGGGCAGTCACCAGACAGCAGTGACAAGCACCCCCTAACACTATAACCCCCACCCTTCTTTTCAAACTTTTTGGGTGGGAAGCACCGTCCCTACCCTGCCACTAACACCCCAGTGTGACCAGCACTCAGGACCATCACCCTACCAGTATCGAGGGCAACTTGGACGAAGCACCCCCTGACACTACAACCCCTACCCCACTTTTCAAAGTTTTCGGGTGGGAAGTACCGTCCCTACCCTGCCACTAACACCCCCATCCCCCTCTTCAAAGTTCTTGGGCAGAACGTCAACGTTTGCAGAAAGCCAGGTACGTTGTTGTCAATGTCTGCTGAAGCCCGTGCTGAAACCCCACCACTAACACCCTCACCATAACCCCCCCAACCCCCGACCCTCAACCCCTGAAATACACCCCCTCCCCCAACCCCCCAACCCCCCAAACGAAACTTCTCTGTTCAAAGTTTTCTTTGCGGATTCCGGGACCCAACCGGAATTCTGGTTGGATCCGGGCCGGTCCAACCGGCCGGTTGCCGGCACAGCCATGGTTTTATACTAAATTTATAGTGCTTCTGAGTTTTTTTTCTTTTTCTTTTTCTTTTTGCCTGTTTTTTTTTTTTTATGTTTGTATTATGAGCCTGCATTGTTTGTTTGCGAAATTTCTATGACATTGCTTGTGGTGATGCGGCGAAACACCCTGAATTTTGGGCCTTCCATAAACCATCTGTCAGAGAATAACTAGCTCTAACAGGAAAAAAGGGTTTGGCTGTGGGACTTGCAGCAGAATGTCTACCCCTAGCACTCAAAGTACCTGTACGACGGGGCTCGTCCGACTATGCCTGACGATCAGGACTGGGGAGGAAGGAGAGGACCTGCTTAGCCCTGATGCCTATAACCACTGTCTGATCAGGTCACTAGAAAAGGGTGATGAGGACCATGGGTGATATGGGTGATAAAAACACTAAGGTAGGATGTTAAGGGTGGAAGAGAGTCTCATAAGGGGCCTGTATAGAAAATCATCTGGATGATCAAATGGCCAACTGCTGGAACGACTATCATACGACTTCAAAAAAAAAATGTCGAAGTGAAGAGTGCAAAGATCAAACACCCTATAAGCCACGACGGTGAATATTGCAGAATACCAATATCCAGTACGGCGCACCAGAGTGCCAGCACTCTCTCCACCCAATGAGCTTTTATTTATTTATTATTTTTTGGCTTTTATACTTAGCATTTTGAAGATGGGAAGAAAAACTTTGGGCGCGGTACTTCTCCACCGAAGGGAGTTATTACGCCTAACTAGGATTTAAATAGAGGAACAGATGTCGATGCTCATTCAGGCCAGGCTGAGCAGTACGTGAGGGCGAAGGTCTGTAGTGCGGAGAAACATCCCTGCTTTTCACAATGTGGTTGTACTGTACCATGTGATGTAGTCCTCAAACTACATTGCTACTTTTCAAGTCCGTTCAAAATCCCCACAGACACAAACCAGGGTCGGCACTTCCGGTGTAAGTCCAGATTCAGGTGTCAAAAGTCACATCTCCTTCCCCCCAAGTAGGGTCCCAGAAAAGTCCTTTGGTCAACAGGCAAGGGCTATGTGTCCCCCGCGGCCATGGCCGCGGGGAAACTCGGATTGCGGTCGAGATCCCGGTCGCCGCCCGCCACCCACAGTTGGGGTGCGGCCGCGACTTTCAGGAATTTGTTTAGGGGTTAAAAAATTCTCAAAAAACAAAACAAAAAATATGATGTTGTAGATCTTTTCGAGATCTACATTGCACAAATTTGTATTTGTTTTTTTGACTTCGTCTTCTAATTTTGAAAATTCAAAAACTAATTTTCCCGAGGCAAAAGCTGTTTTTTTTAATTTTTTTGGTTAAGAAAAACCATGGAACTTATTTGTTTGGATATGACCATAAGGCAAAAGTTGTTCAGTTTATTTTTCTGCATAATATATTTGTTTTCCAGCACTGTTTGATTTTATTGTTATTAATTTATTTTTTTTCATGACCGCGACCTGCAGTCATGACCGCGGAGTTGCGGACTTGGCCGCGTCTGGCCGCGGCCACGGGGGATACATAGGTCAAGGGTGAAGGTTCAAGAAAGGCAGCCTGTGCCCCCACGAGGTGGTAGTTTCCTTTAGAAAATCAGAAGTCAGGCCTGTCTCGAGGGGAAAGTAGACCACAAAAAAGTCAGAGATTTCTCAGGAGTGAACCACAGCCACAGATCTGATGATGCACTGTTCTAGAAGTTTCGAGGGCCTACCGGGTCCAGGCACACATTGGCTGGCACTGCTCGAAAGCAAATCTGGGTCATCCAGATTGGGAAATCTTAGCTGCACGAGAAGGCGCATTGAGGCAGACCAAGACTGGTCAGCACTACAAAAGAGTTGCCTGCCCCAGTTGGCTCATTCATTCTGCCTTGCTCTATCGGAGGCTGGAGCACTGCTCCATTCAGCACTGGAGCAGGCAGGTGAGGCTGGCGCCAGAGAGGAAGAAGACAGCGCCAGCCAGGAAAGAGAAGAGAGAGACAGTAGCCATAGCTAAGAAGGGCGCCTGAGCACCGTGGCCATAGGACAGAGGTAGCGCGAGGAAGAGGGCGATCAGGACTTGTGAGGAGGGAGAGGGAGAGCCGGGGAAGCTTACCTTGACTTACCTCTTAACGCTGGTGGTACTGAAGTGGCGGTTCGCAGTTGAAGACTGGAGGTGGCAGATGCCAACCTCCATAGCTGAGCTTCATTAGGGAGGCTGGGTGCACGGGCAGAGAGCTGCAAAAAGACTTCATTACCTTACTCAGGGTGGAGGTGCATCCTGAGGTGGCGAGTTGTGGGTAGAAGAAGGGGGAACTGAAGAGCCGTTTGAATTGTACCTATCGAGTGTCAATGAGACGATCCTCCCTCTTTCTACTGCTTCTCTACCTTTGTCTCACTTCTGGTTACTTGCTGCTGAATCTGGGACTTGAGTTCTTCATGGGTTGTTCTACATTGCGACTGGTTCCATATTGAGTGAGTGTGATGAGACGATTTGCATGTTCCTGTCGTTCAAGCTTCTCGCCATTGCTGGGTTCATTGCAGCTGTTGATGTCACGTACCTTAAACCACCAGTACGTCTCCCACACAAACTTTGTCGACGAAGCTGTCTAGCACGACATTCTCCAGGGGCTCGGGCTGCCTAGGCCTCCTGAGCCTTTTTGACTGCCGGCACCAGCCAAAATGTGTGTGTGTGTGTTGGGGGGGGGGGGGGGGGGGGAGGAAGGAGTGCCGCACAGGTTTGTATTAGAATTGACCTGCAGCAGAAATCCACCACAGGAAAAAGAGGTTCAGACGTACTGGTGGTTTAAAATTTGAACAAAGCTTTGCATTGACGAGGTGAGTGCCGGTACACGACTGCATGGAAGGAGATGGGTCCTATACAACAGAGAGCGGCAAGCGAGCAAAGGGGTACAGATGGACCATCTGAACTAGATTCTCCATTTCGAGCCATCCAACACGGAGATCAACGACAACAACAAGAAACAAAGGATCCAAGTAAGCGGGACCTCAGCCCGAAAAGGAAGCATACAAAATCCAGCATAGCTTTCATGTGTTCACGTCTGATTCCAATCAGGATATTAGCTGTGCTTTCTAAGGCTACATGTGTGTACCAAAGAGCCAGCCACATCGGCTGGGCGAATCGGATATAGCAGGAACAAGTGAGGGGCTTTCTCTTTTTCTTTCTTTTCGGGTAAGACTCCGTAAGAGCCTAAAAGGGAAAGCTCAACATTATTGTGTTCATCTGCTTCCACAAAGGGCACAGTTTCGCTAGCCACAGGGCTGGGGTCCCACGTGCAAGTACGTGGGACCTCGGCGTGAGATAAGATTTCAGTCTAGTGTGGGACGGCTCAGACAAAGAAAATAATAAGACACATTACTTGACCGAAAATGATGATGCTCCCCAACCATCGAATCATATGTCATCTGACAGCGCAGATGTTGCAAGCCCGAGTTCAGTGTTCAGTGTTCAGTGTTCAGTATTTCAGAAAATGAAAAAGTCGTGAGAAAACCGTCACCATGACATCTGACACATGCAGCCAATTTCAGCGAGAGATGTATAGTTCTGACGCACTTATGAGCATCCATTCAGTTCCTCTGAAGCCGCTGAAACATTCTGCTTCCAAGGTTTCCTTGGGCGCTCTCACAGTCCCTGCCGCCGAATAGACTGGCTTTTCATAAGTTTGTTCTTCTTTTCTTTTGCATTCTATCGGCCCAGACTTGAAATTCGACACCTAGACTCGTCTCTACACAAGTTTTTTTTTTTTTTCCCTGCGCACCAAAAAAGAAACGAGAGCAGGTGAGTCATCGTCTTCTTTTCCTTTGGCTGGCACCACCAGCCATTTTTTTTGGGGGGGAGGGGGGTCCGTTTGCTCCTCCGAAGATCGTAGTGCTTAACCAACTCATCGAAAACCTTGCCTGTGAAAGGTACTAGTGGTTTAATTTGCTCAAAAGGCCCCTCTCCATCCCAACCTCTTTTTTTTTCCCCTAGAGCACCCTCACTTCCCCCCATCTTGAGGTACATTGTGGGGCTTCAAGAGATTTGCGGTTACGGTAGAGACAAGTCCAAGGGCCTTGCTGCAGCAATTAACAAATGTGAAAAGACGAAAGCTATGGCGGTTGTATCTGTATCTTTCCTCGTTCTAGCAAACTATACACGCTCATTTTTTACAAATTGGGTGACTTGTGCAGCAAGGCACTCAATGATGAAATGTGTTCACAACTGTGAGAGGCGCCCAGACAAATAGGAGGGCGGTTTTCGTTTTCTGAAAGTGCATGGAATGAGCATGGAAATACTGAGAAATAATAACACATAAAACTTGGGATTTAAAAGGAAACAAGATGACATGAGCTTTAAAAACAAGATGACATGAGCTTTAATATCATGGCGTTATCCTTTTTTTATTTATTAAAAAAAACTGCACTATGTTCTTCTCTCAAATTCTATTTTATTTTTTTTGCCTTTCCCTACCTTCCTACCACTACTCTTAAGGGCCCACTGGCAAAGACGATTGGAATAAGTGTCTGAATCAGGACGTGTTCCAGGAAGAGATGCAGAAAAGCAGATCAATTACAGTTTTTTGCAACTCTCCACAAACACGTCCAGATTCAGACACTTATTTCAATTGTTTTTGCCAGTGGGATCTCGCCCTAAGACTATGGAGAGGGGGACCCCTGCAAGCATAGGGCCTCGCAAACGAGGTAAATTATGTTGCCCCCCGCCCCAACAGCAGTAATAGGAGATGGGTTGGGGCCGCTGGTGGGGGTCCGGCTAATGCAAAGACCGAGCATTTTGCTACATGAGCTTTCATATCATGGCGTTATCATCTCTCTCCCAGTTAGTGCAGCACGGCATTTAATAATACTGTTAAGCACCAAAAACGCTAGAAATTGTACCATCATCCTATCTCAGGTGATTTCTGGCCATCGATCCAAGGCCCCGACATGGACTGAGGCCCTCATACAGTGAGATGGGTGTCTATGTTTACCTTATCCCTGTGGCTACCGTCTTCACCCGAACAGAACACCCGGTCATTATAGCTGTATTTAGCACAACTTTCAGTCCAAATGCAGCGATAATGACCGGGCGTTCTATTCCGGTGAAGACGGTAGTGGAACCCTGCCCAGGGATTCGAACTCCTGACGTGTTCACTCACAGCACCTTTCTGTACCATCCAGACACACCACTCGCCCAATGTTGTATCTTGCCAGCTTCTATGCAAGGATACACTCGTCATTTTACTCAGGACAATTTGCCCCAAACAAATCAAATAAGCAGGGGCCACCAGCCAAAAAGATGAAAAATGGCCAGCTCCATTGCTTTTTTGGTATGCACCGCAAATTCCGCAATCCGCCTCGGAAACACGAGGCGCGGAGGTAGTTCGGGTTTAAACCACCAGCACTCCCTAAAGTCGTGGCCCGTTAACAAGCCACCACGATTTTAGGAAACGTACGGGCCACTACAGGAGCGCCCAAATTCATCCGAGTGGAAGCATTTCTACTCTATTTTTTTCCTTCATGTGGCCGATAGCTGGGCCACGTACTGGTGGTTTAAGAGTGGTGGAAGGAGGCCCTGCAATCTGAAAGGCCAAAAAACAACAATCGGCGGAAGCGACTAAGGGCATATACTCACACTAGGACGTTTTTTTTTTTTTTTTTGGACGTAGTTTGGGCCAGATGCATCCAGCACCGGACGTAAATGCAGTCGGATACATTTGAGATAGAGCTAGTGTGAGTATCCCCTAAGGGCATATACCCCCACTGGCACATATTTTCACAAAAAAATGAGAGCTTTCACCCCCAAACTGCCACCAGGTCATACCCCTCCACTCTGTCCAGAAAAAAGACGATCACGGCCGTGAAAAAATTGAGGCCACTTCCATGGGTAATGCTGGTCAGCAGCTACAGGTTCGTATACCTTTACCTTGCAGTTTTGTTTGAACGCGCCGGAAACGACATCTGCAGATGACCAGCACCTCCCATTTTTCAACCCTGACATCGACATCAATGTATAATTTTTTTTCTTTTCATTTAGACATGAGCAAAAAGTTAAACCACCAGTACTTCCTAGAGTCATGCCCATTAACGCGCCACAATTTTAGGAAACGTACGGGCTACTACAGGAGCGCCCAAATTCATCCGACTAGAAACGTTTCTACTCTATTTTTTTCCGCGGCCGATAGCTGGGCCAAGTACTGGTAATTTAAGTGTTTCGCGGGTATCTTTCCCAGTGGAAGGCTCCACCCCTCAGCAGGCCTCCATGGGGAGGCGCTGATAAAATTTTGAAGGGCGACACAAAAAGTGTCCGCGAGCCTGATGTTGGCGTGAGGGACTTGGCGCAGCCTCTACGACTAACTGATAGGGCCAGCCTCCCAGTTAGTTGCCTAGGCCTGCCACAACGACCGTGAGTGGTGTGCACCAAGGTCCATTGTGACATGGGGGCAAGGTCACACACAATTAGCGAGGGACTCTTTGTTTGTAGTCCTGGCTGATCTTTGATAATCTATGGTCCGGAATGAAGGGATATGGGATCTCTCTGACAAGGAGACCCCACCCATTGTGGGGTAAACAGGAATAAACAAGGGAATGTTCATATTACTTCGAATCGGATAAATCGGAAAAGAGAAAGCACACCAGTTCAGTTGAGTGAATCATCAATTCAATGAAATTAAATTCTGTCTGTCTTATGGTTGTTATCGTGTCGCCGTAAGGCCCAACGAACACATACTAATGCTAAGAGTTGCAGCCCCAGACTTGTGGCCACAAAATGGGAGACTGGAGCTTGAGTGGGAAACCCAATGCGTAGGTTCTTGTAATGTCACCGAAATCGTCATCATAGCACATCATAGAAGAAAAATAGATACGGTTTGATATTCCCCTTTTCCCATTATTGACGCTGTTTTTTTTTTTTGTTTGTTTAGTGGGAAGCGAATCGTGCTCCTTTTGATTTACCAGAAGCTGAAGTTGAGTTAGTTGCAGACTACAACGTAGACTATTCTTCTTCTCCTCAATTACGTACGGACAAATCTTTTTGAAAACAAAACTGTTTTATTGCAGCTCAATTGAAAGCGACGAAACAAGTGTGTCGTAGTCTGAAACTAGAACATGCACAATATCATGAAGTAGCTGCTTTTTTTTGCTCAATTTGGCTCAGATCTTGATGCTGCATCGTGGCAGTGGCAGTGGAGGGGGACATATCAGTCACATTGGAGAGGCGTAAACAGGAATAAAGTTCAATAAACTAGAAACCATAATCTATACCAATGTTTCTTCTTCTTCTTCTTCCTGCTGTATCTGCTTTCTCACCCTCCCTTTCTGATCATACTAAGATTCAAACTGAGGTCTGCTTATCAACAAATGCATGGTGTACCATTCAGCCACCGGGTTCAAGTCCCGCTCCCTTTCAGCCTCTGCTTCTAGTTATCCTCCTCTTGGTTGGGGGATAATTCCACAGAGTATAGTCACAATGCAAAAAGGAAGAATTGCTGGACCTTCTGGAAATTGATCTGTAATGCGCAGAGGCGCATTGTCAATCCCTCCTTTCCGGGTTTCCAACTTCCTGACTACATTCTTCACCCGAACATAATGCCTGGGCTTTATGTTCGA